ATAGCCTAATAAGCGCTCAAGCACACGCATAAAGCTTGCTACAGCGCACCACAGAAGTAATGATTATGAATGTATCAGGAAAAAAATTACGGAGACTGCATTAACATTTTAATAATTCACTGATAAACTGGTGCTTTTGTTTTTGGTTTAAGAGATTTAAGTTGGCGACACTGTCTTGTCATCTCCGCAATATATTTGTCTGTATGCATGTTTCATACAGATTACATAATCTGAGTATATTAGATCTTCTATTTGAATTGGTTTATTTGAAATGAGACATTTCACTCTCTATAGATATATTTTTAATGTCTGCAAGGCAAAGATATACAGAGTCTCATGCTCAAGTTCACAGAAACTGAGACGGCAGAAAGCGCATCCTGATTGCTTTCATTATTTTACAAAAGCACAATTTTCTGATGTTATTGTGAGTGCACACAAATAAATGTAGAGTCTATACAGACTCGAAAGATGTATTACTCTTATCTTTATGAGCAAAAATGAGGGAGTATTTTGAGCAAGTGAGCGCACCAGCGCCTCCATTTGTCCTGCAGTAAGCGCGCTACTCTTCATACTCCACACAGACACTCGAATAGCGCACATTTCTCTGGGTTAACAGTAGATTGAGCGGCCATGTAAAGTTGCTAATAATTACATATTTCAGATGATAAGTCATATTTTAGGTCGATGAATGATAGGCGAGCGTTTGGATGTCCTGCCCAATGTATTACCACAAAGACCAGCCGTTAACGATCTGCATGACTTCGCCAATGTGGTTTATTTTATTTTTTTTCTTCTGCGACTAAGCGACTAATACAATTTTGGTCGACCAAGCCTCTTCTGGTCAACTAACAATTAGTCAACTATTAGGGAGCAGCCCTAAATTACATTGTGTAGGAGCTTGTAGATTCAGTTAAATGAATAAAATAACTGTTATGTTTTCTCAGAAAAAAATGCCTATTCATGCTGTTATATGAAGAAATAAATGTGTTCAACTAATACTTTTGGTCTAACAGCCATATCAATAATTTACTGGTGATTTTTGTAATTTTTAAGA